AGACTCAAGAGTAGCCCCTCGGTGAAAGTGGAGACTGGAATATTCTGCATGATGGTTTTCAAACCTGGCTGCACATGTGAATCAACTGGGGAGCTTTTTAAAAATTTTGGCGTCCACCACCTGTCCTGAGATTGCAACTCAATCAAACTAGAGTGGAGTCCAGGCATGTGAGTTTTTAAAGCTCCCAGGTAGTTCCAAAGCACAGGCACGTTTGAGAACCACTGATACTGCCCAAAGGTTAGGAGCAGGGGGTTTAGGGTAGGGAGACTTAGGCTCAAGGTAAATGCTGCCATTTGCTACTTGTGTGGCCGTGGATAAGCCACTCTTCCTGCCTCCTGAAGCTTCCTTCCTGCTGCATGCTAGCCTTGTGGGCACTGAACCAGGTAATGAATGTCAAACGCCTGCCATGGTAAGGGCTCGATGCGAGCTTCAGTAATCGCTAGCAAGGTCTGCATCTGGGGACGGGCTAGAAAGAATGCCTAAAGTTAGGTTCAGTGGCTACACCCAGATACACTGACATTAGTGACATTCAGGGTTTTGGGTGCTGAGCAGTGCTTTGTACCCAAGCGTGCGTTCTCTAGTGCAAACAAGATTCCGTTGTGATTTCCTGCAGCACAAAGCCCTTAGGGACTGTTACTGGGAGTGAAAGGTCCATTCTCTTCTATGAATATGGTTCTGGAGATCGGGCTCTATCCAAAGTCACAGCTTCATCGGAGGAGTAGTTAAACAGTCCATTTCATTAATCCTATTAGCAGCCCTGAAACGCATGCTGAGCGCTCATCTCCAGGGGAGGGAGACTCCTCGGACCAGACGGCCTGCCAGGGGGATGCTGAGTGAGTTCTCTGAGCCCAGCCCTTCCCAAAGCTGGAAGCACAAATCCCTGCCGTCAGGGCTGAGGGGAGCCACATAATGCCAGGAAATAAACCTGCTGCTGAAGCCAGGGGGCCAGGGGGCAGGGGCTTCCCTCAGATCCTTTCTCTTGCTTGGGCGGTCTCTTTTTCTGGGGGTGTTGGGAAGGGGTCCGGTTGTGATGAAAGGGGAATCTGAGATTGACACAACTTGTCTTATCTTTAATTCAAACAAAAACAAGAGGCACCCACGCTGGCGCCTGACAGGGCCCCAGAGAGATGAATCGGATGGAGGGAAGGCTGGAGGCACAGGCTAGAACAGCCGGCCCTCGGCTCACCTCTGAGGGTGCCAAGGGTCTCCTTCCTCATCAGGCTTGCCCGGGAGCCTTAAAGACCTGCCCGTCTGCTGCTGCAGTATGGAGTGGAGAAACTGGCCTAGCCTTGACATTATCGTCTTCCAAAAAACCAGGGTCACTGGACGGTCTGCAGACTATGGATTTAGCCCACTGTAGGGGTGTGAGGAATGGTGGCTGCGGGAATGCTTTCACTGTCCTCCTTACAAAGCCCAAGGAAATCTCTTATTTATTTATTTATTTATTTATTTATTTTTATTTATTTTTTTTAAACTCATCCAGTGTTTCCAAGGAAATCTCTTGTCGCAGTGTGGGTACCATGCCCAAGCCAACCTACCAGAGGCAGCATGTTAATGAGCTGCAGCAGCCTTATTCCTTCCGGTCTCCCTTAACTGTGTTTCTGAGCAGCTGTTGAACAGCTGTGGAATCCCAGTCCAGAGGTGGATAATGCACTTCCAATGCTGGATAATATTATTCTTGGAGGTGGAGGTAGAGAGGAAAAAGTGAAGGAGCTACATGTCCTGAGCACCTCTTAAATTCCAGACACCTGGCTATGCACTTTGCATAAATATTATTTCTAATTCTCTCCAAACCTCAAATGAACACTTACCTGAGGTCCTAGCTACTGAGTGGCTAAGCTAGGGCGCAAACCCAAGTGTGTCTGACAGTCCAAGTTTATTCGATTGGGTCATTTTACACCAACAAACTAGTAAATACTAAGAACCCTGACACTGTCTATTGCTGGTGGGTAGGTAAGACACAATGAGAGAAGGCTGGAGCTGGTCTCTAAATATGGCCACAGCGCTCATCCCTGTGAGCTCATGCCACTTTTCACATTAAGGGGCGGAATCTATTTTCTTCCTCTTGAAGGTGGGCAGGCCTTTTGGCTTGTTTTGACCGAGAGAATGTGGCAGAAGTAGCATTCTGGGTACTCTGAGTTCAGGCCTTAAGGGGACTGGTGGCTTCCGCTTCTTCCCTCTGAGAAGCCAGGTGCCATACGTAAAAAAATCGCAGGTCAGACAGCTTAATGGAAATCCACGTGGCGAGAAAAGCCACGTGGAGGCGCATGTGACTCCAGCTTTTTTTTCGGACCACCCAGGCCAGCCCAGCCCAGCTGCCAGATGAATGCAGTCAAGTGAGTGACCCAGCTGATGTCCGCCAAAGAAACACCCCACGGAGCCCAGTCAACCCACAGAATCATGAAAGATAACAAATCACTGTTTGAAGTCACTAAGTTTGGGAGTGGCTTTAGGCAACAATAAATCACTTAGGAGGGGAAAATCCAGTGTGGTATCTACACCACTGTGGTGCTAGCAAACCCCTCTGGTTTCATCCTCACACCCTATGCTCCATTATTCACACTAAGTGCTGGTCATCTGTGGCCAAAACGAAGTGTCATTGATATTATGAGATGTCTTGAGAGTCGAAGAAAGCACAAGTCAAAATACTTCGAAAAAGCAAAGCAGGAAGCCACAGATTTTGAAGGAAGCCCTGCACATGGTCCCAGCAACGTGTTGTGAGATAGAGAAACAAATACACATTTGTCAAAGGGGGTGAGAAGCGTGGGAGCTAATGAATCCGCCTTTCTCTGAAAGAGGCCAAACTGATAAAAGGGGCATCAGTAGCCCAACAGAAAAATGGGCAAAAGACAGGAAGAGGCAAATCACAGACGTGCATCCCTACATCACTGGAAAGGCAGGAAAAGATGCTCAAAGTCACCAGCAGTCAGGAAAATCCAAATTAAGTAATAATAAACTCCTGTTTACATTATTAAAAACATGAAGAGCACCTAGTGCTGGAGAGGATATGGTGAAAGGGGCACTTCACAAGTTGCTCTGGAAATGTGAATGGCTTTACCCTTTGAAACCCATTCCAGGAACACCTGTTAAAAACATCCCAAGAGTGTGAGGATCTAGGTTCAGGAACATCTACTGTAGCATTGCTCGTGATGGGAAAAACTTAACACGAAGTGAATGTTAACTGATAAGGGAATCATTGGATCAATTATGGCTCACCCACGCCAGGAATATTTTGCAAAATATTCGGAAGAATAAACTGAAGTTATCGCCAGTGCATTGGAGGGGTTTCTTATGACGTACTGCTGAGTGAGAAAAGCATGATTCATAAAAAGTACGTATCAAATCTGATCCTGTTTTGTAGAATGATGAAGCTTCTATTTGCATGCATGTTTATATCCCTACAGAAGTGTCTGTGTGAACACATGGGCAAGGAGAAAAATACAGAAGGATGCACACAGAGCCATCAGCCGGCATCCCTTGGGGAAGGGCAGAGGAGCAATATGTGGAAAAGAGAAGGGAGGGAGCTAGCCAAATTAAAGGGAAAAGAATAAAAAAAAAAAAAAATTAAGAAAGGACATGATATCATTACATGTATGCATTTGTATGAAATTATATATATATGCATATGTATGCGTAAAATATAAAATAGCATTAAAGCGAAAACATAAAGCAAATATTGATTTCTATTTTATCCCTAAATAGGCATCCTTGAAAAAAAGGATTCTGGCACTTAAAAATTATTCCTTTTGACAGGGTCAGTGGCGTGACTGATAACGCATCTGACTACAGATCAGAAGATTCTAAAAACTATTCCTTTTGACACTGTGTGTCAACTATACCTCAATAAAAAAAATTTATTCCCTCTGCTCTGCATTTATTTTATGTAGAAGAAGCAACATTGGCAGTAGTGAGCCCTGACTCCTGCAGGATGCTAGCCAGACCGAAGTCTAGCAGCCTCTCTCCCCCAGCACGGCTTCTGAATGGGAAAAACTCCTCCAGTTGGAGATGTATCCAGTGAGACGCCCCCCGCACCCGTAATCTCCAGCCTAGAACCTCCTAGAACCAGGAAAGCACACGTGTGTGAGTGTCAGTGTGCAGACACGCAGAGGCAGACTTCCAGGCAGGCACCTGCTGATGGGTGGCCCTGCCCACAGATGGCCACAACCTCACCTGCCCTCTCCCCCAGCAACCCACAAGGTCTCTAGGCTACACCCTCCTCCCAGCCCCCCTCTCAGCTTATTTTCCCTCCTTGCCTCCCCTGCCCACTTGTTCTGTCAGACTCCTAGTTCCCAAAGCCTCATGATCCCTCCTCTTGGCCCTTGGGGGCTGCAACTCACAAGCCAAGCACGGTGAGAGAGGTCAAACCCAGATGGCAGAGTTTAACTGAAGACCATACGGTCCCAGAGCAGCCAAACACCACCCTCAGCCAGTCCATCCTCAACAAAAGGACACACTCCCTCATGCCCAGAGACTTTGGTGCTCCTAGTCCACTAAGATCCAAAGTAAAAAGTGGAATAAGAGGTTTCCAAAGCTGGGGCACCTGGGTGGCTCTGTTGGTTAAGCATCTGCCTTCGGCTCAGGTCATGATCCCAGGGTCCTGGAATTGAGCCCCTCATCGGGCTCCCTGATAAGCAGGGAGTCTGCTTCTCCCTCTCCTTCTGTGCCTCCCGCTGCTCATGCTCTCTCTCTCTTGCTCACTCTCTCTCAAATAAATAAATAAAATCTTAAAAAAAAAAAAAAAGAGGTTTCCAAAGCCAGGGGCAGAGAGAAAAGGGAAGTGACTGTTTAGTGAGTGTGGGGTCTCCTTTGGGGTGATGAAAATCTTCTGGAATGAAAATTTTCTGGAACGAAATAGTGGGATGGTTGTACAACATTGTGAATGTACTTAATGTCACTAAGTTACACACATTAAAATGGTTAAAATGGAACTTTTATGTTATGTGAAATTTACCACTGCTGAAAAAAAAAAGATCCAAAGGCCTGGTGGGGCCTCACATTACCCCGTCTAGCTTCCTCGCCGCTGGTATTGGTGGCAGTCGCGTTCTCCCGGCTCTCAGATTGCTGCTTCTCCAGCCCACCTAAAGGAATGAGAAAGAAAAGAAACGTGAGGACGCATCAGCCTTCTTTGTAGGAGCACCAAGAGCCGAGGGAGCAAACCTAGTCACCTGGGGGATGACCGGGATCCCTGGCAGATCAGTAAAGATTTGATAACACAGGTTGATTGAGCACTTATCACGTGCTGGGTACTGTTCTAGATGCTAGGGCAAAAAAGAACCTGCTTTCTCATAACCATGCACATAATTCACAAATTAGAAATGTATTGCTCTCCTCCATCAGTTCAAGGGTACTTGGAGTCAAATATACAAAGTTAAGAGGCAAATCCCAAAGTCAACCTGCAAGTCAGCTTCCTTACCCTCGCCCCCATTAGGAAGCCCGAATGTAAACAGGACACTCCCTTCTGGAGTCCCCTCATGTGGAATGTGGGAGAAGTCCTCAGTGCTGCTTTTAAATATGGGATGTGGTCAGTTACTGCCTTGGCTTAAGTAGGCATTTGGGTTTTCTCTTTGGGGTGAGTCTCATTTTAGAAATTGCTCTGTAGACTTTATATATCAGACTCTGCAGACACGGCCTTGGTCAAGGACAGTGACGCTTGTCTTTGTTTGCTAGTAGCCATTGTGTATAAACCTGGTTCACATCTGTCCCCACCAGGAAGGTGGTCAATCAGCTAAAAGTATTAGACCCACGGTGAACTAGAACTGTGTGCAGTTCCAGGCACCGGGGGATTCAGCAGTGAGCAAGAAAGATGGGTAAAGTGGACAGCTGGACAATAAACACAAGGTAAGAAAACAAAGGGACAAAGTCATTGTGGGTTCAGAAAATCTGAAGATCGTATGCAGTATGAGCGCTCAGAAGGGGCCTTCCCTGACCACTAACACAGAGATCTGGCCCAGGATCAGGAAAGAATCTAGACTGGGAATGAGCTTGCCCTTGGTGGGCAAGGGGGAACCAGGCAGAGAGGGAGGCCGGATCCACAAGGATATTAGGAATATAGTTGCAGGCAGGGAAGCAGGGAGGCTGATGGATTAGATACGAGGGCCTGAGAGAGGTCCCCAATGACTCCTACATTTGGGGGTTGAATAACTGGGTGGGTTGTGATACCAGGGAGCAGATCTGAGGATAGAGCCTATGTCCAGGAGAGACTATTGTACATAAGAAACCACATCCAAGCAACTACAGGACAATCGACTTTCAAAATCATTTCTTGCATTTGTTTAGAAATTTGCAGCTTACAGAGCTGTTTCCCCATACCTCCTTTGACCCCCATTAGAACATTCTGTGGCAGACAAGAGTGTAATGCCATTTTACAGAGGAGAAAACCAAGACACAAAATGAGTAGCCCAGGGTCGTGCTCAGGACAGTCTTCCTGGTCAGAAGCCTGAGGATCTTTCCTGTGCCCCACAGCTCACAACAATGCTCGGGGTAGAGTCCCAAACAGATGACCCAATGACCTGACCTGGGACAACCAAGGGAGCCGGCCCTGTGGTCCCACAGCTCAGCCTCCACCACGCAGCCCGCCTCTTTCCCTCTCCTGCCTATGACACCGGCGGCGGACCAGGCGTGCGCTGACATTTTTGCGTGCCTTCATCCTGCTGGTTCCGCTGCCTTTCTGGCCAACTCCGAATCCACTCACACGCTCCCTGCAGCTGCCGGGCCGTTGGCTGCCAGCTCCCAGCCCTCTGGGTATTCTTCCAGCTTCGATATCATTTCCTCTTGGGCTAAAGTTCAGGGAAAATCGCTGGCCGGCAGAGGAATGTGGCATGTGTGGAGCGAAGGGGAGCCTGGAGCCAGAGCTCCGGGCCCAGCTTCGTCTTTGCTGCGGAACTGTGGCTAAGACCTTGGGCGTTTGTATTTTTCATCTGTCAAATGGGCTGTTTGTTTTGAAGACCAAATGAGGTAATGGGTTTGTTTAGGCACTAACTCATTCAACAAATATTTATCCAACACCTGCTCCACGCCAGATGCTGTTTCTGCTGCTCAGAATACAACACAGAACAAACTCTACCCTGACCTCATGGAAATTATATTCTGATGGAGGGTAGGGGAGAAAACAATAAGCTAATAGGCAACCAAATATTTAAGCCAGTTGCTGATAGGCACTACAAAGAAAATAAATGAGGGTGAAGGGAACAGTGAATGCTAGGGATAAGGGGTTGCTGTTTCATGTGAGATAGAAAAGCAGAAGCCAGAACAGAGTGACAGAGAGACTACTACAGAAGACTGGGGAAGAACATTTCAAACTGAGAAAAACAACGGGTGCAAAGGCCCTGGGGTGGGAGTGTGCTTGGGGGTAGGGAGGCGGTATGACTGGAATGGAATGGGTGAGAGAGACAGTAGTAGGCAGTGTGGCCAGAGGGCAGTGGAGGGTCTGGAGGGTTAGCTCATGTGGTGCCATTTTCAGGATTTGGCTTTTATTCCGAGGGATCTAGATGAGAGCCAGAGAACATGAGAGGGCTCTATAACTGCACCAGCTTTGAATATGACCAGGGTTACTAGTAGTGGACAGGAGGGGGACTCAGGGGCTGGCATTGGAAAGGAGATTCCACATAGCACTAGCCCAGCATGAAGGGTTGGTAAGTTTAGATGTGCTTGGCTCCTGCGAAAGGGGTGGAACGAGGCAAAAAAAAATTAAACCTGTAAGGATACCTGAGCACAGCCTGGGTTCAAGGTTAACTGTAGGCTGTGGCTGAGGGAGCTAAGGCCAGGAGAGACTGATATTCAGCTCTGCAGCAGGCTCGGGGTGGAGGACTTCCGATCCACCTGGCCCCCTATAATAGGAGCTCAAGCTCTGGAGTTGAGGGGAGAACAGGGGCCCCCTAGTAGCCAGAGAGGGGAAAGAATCAGTGATTACTATGTGCCAGTTATGGAGTTGAACATGCGCTAAGAACAGTGCTAAATGCTCTTCTTGTATTGTGTTTAGTAATTCTGGCCTCATAAAGACACAATGACAAAAGGGCCATAACCATCCCCATTTTCCAGGGAGGAAACAAGGCTCCAAGAGGTGAAGTGACTTGCCTATCTCGAGGGTACAGAGATGGTTAGCAATGGTGATGGCTGAAGATGGGTCCTATCTGACCCTCCAAATCTGTGCTCCTTCCCCTCAGCCTCAGGACCAGAAAGAAAAAGAGTAAGTGGGGTGCCTGGGAGAGGTGGGCTATTCTCAAGGGACTCACAGCATTTTTTTCCAGAAGGCCTGCGAGAGCTTGGGGCCCTGGGCAGTTAAGAACACAAATCCTTCCTCTGTCATCCTTCCCAGCAAGAGACTAGAGACTGTCTTTTTTCTCAGAAGGGCAGCAAATCTCATGCTCCCAGTACCGCTGAGCCTGGGATCTCCCTGGACTTAATGTGGTTTGGCCACTCTCCCTGATGAAACCGTTCCTGAGGCTCCCCACTGCCTTTGGGATGAGTTCTAATTCCCTGAGGCCTCCTCCACCTGGTGCCCCGGGGCTTCCTGCTATTTCTGCCACTCCCATTCAGCCACCCTGAGAAACCTATAGCACCTTGATTTTTATTTTCCTCGGCCACACCCACCTCTTCACCTGGCCAAATCCTACTGGTGCTTTAAGTTTCAGCTGGGACACCACTTCTTCTGGGACACTGCCTCACTGCTCCTCCCAGGTTAGAAGCCCTCTGCTCTGTGCGCACATACAGGGCCTGGGCTGATTCACACCCCTTACCGCAAGGTATGGACATCTCCTGTCCATTCAGTTGATCCTTCAGTTTGGTTTTTAGGTTTTAGCATCTTGGTGAAAGTATCCTTGTCTTGTCCAACAATGAACACGAAGCACTGTGCCCAGCACATAGCAGACACTCAATAAAATATGGGATGGATGGATGAATGGACTGATGGATGATGGATGGACGAGTCAGGTAGACAGTGCTTAAAAAGATAACTCAATCATTTCTAATGGATGGGAAAGTCCATCAGCTTTTATGGAGAGAGGGAAGCAGATATTCCTGGGACAATGGTTATCAACCTTCGCTGCAATGTGGGATCACCTGGGAAACTTTTTTAGACAAACACGGATGCCGGGTACCTCCCGCCACCCCCCCACCCAGGTTCTTATTTAATCAGTATGGGCCTGGGCTGGGCCTTGGGATTTTCAAAAGCTCCTCAGGTGATTCTAAGGTGCAGCAAAGGTTGAGATTCACTACTCAGAGAACCTGATATTTTCTTAAAACCAAACTCTTCCTTCCCAAGCTCACCAGGAATGAAAGATGTGGAGCTGGAGACAGACATCAAACACTAAAAAAGTCATTTCTCACATCTGTATCAATGGAAAATGTTCCTCTCTTCCAGTAAAAGTTAGCAAATGAGTAAGACAGGTGTGACCGTGGCTGGAACTGCACCGGTGAGCACCACGGAACAAGGAAGAGAAATAATAGCCTGCTGCAGCCAAAGACTGGGGACAATGGGGGAGGGAGCATTCAGGGGGTGGGGATATATTTTTCCTTGGGTGTAACTGCAAGACAAAAAATATTTGAAAAAAATACATATATATGCCTGTATTTGATCTTTGGTTAATTACCTCTTCACTGAGAGGATATGCAAAGGCCTTGTAGATTTCATTAGTCACAGGGGCTTATTCAAACGTCTCCTTTGCATAAGAAACCCAGGCTTACAGCTGGTCTCTGGGAAAGAATGCCCTCCAGGCCTTGAAAAGAGAGCTACAGGCCTGTTCACGCTCTCACTGAAACACAGCAGAGGTCAACGGCCCGTGATGCATGGGGCCAGGCTGAAATGTTTCTATCCAGCATTTGCAATTCAATCCCACAGTTTCCTTTATGGAACAATTCACTAAATTCAGAGTTGTTCTTTTTTCTAATTCACCATATAATTCACCTCCCAAGTTCAATTAAGAAGCAATCTGTTAGCAACTTTGGGAGCAAGCTGCTTTTCTTTGGGAAAGCCCAATTTTCTTCCGCTCCCAACAAAAAGTAGCTTAATTATATGCATCATATGAGACATTGATGTATACACAACACTCCTCCACCATAATTAGTGAAATATTAACTATAT